CAAATATGTAAGTCTAACATGCAACCTGTGGTTCAAACATGCAATTCTTTAGTCCAAACATGCAATCCTTTTAAACATGCAATCATGTGGTTCAAACATGCAAGTCTAACATGCAATCATGTGGTTCAAACATGCAAGTCTAACATGCAATCATGTGGTTCAAACATGCAAGTCTAACATGCAATCATATGGTTTAAACGTGCAATCCTTTATAATTAGTCCAAACATGCAATCCTGTGGTTCAAACACGCAAGTCAAACATGCAACTCTTTGGTTCATTTAGGAACAAGCTGAGCGCTAATTTTTGGCTTATTTTAGGTATCTAATTTAGTATATTTCTTTATGGAAAAGTTTGACTTTATGTTTATTAATAATTAATATTATGAACGATGCAAAGTTATTAGTATCTACTCTCTATTTTAACATTGAATATTTATAATTTATTAATAAATTATTATTTACGATTATATTATGCATTCTTATATCACATTGCTTCTTTCGTTCGCTTGCATATTGCATTCAGGAAGCTTTTACATAGGGCTAGCCCAATCGCTTTCACTTTCATTATCGAATGTTGCTGATAAAGCAGTGATGCTAGGGATGTACAATTGCAAGCTTTTGAAGACTTTGCAACATATATTTATCATAGTTTTTATACTTTACAGTTCCTTTAACAGTGCAAGCAGTGCTAACCTTCCACAAGGTAACAAGTGGATTGTCCTGGGGAGTGCAAGCAAAACGACAAAAGAACTGAGTTAGCAAAAATTCGTATACTACTCTCCTCTTTAAGCAAGCGTCTTTAATTATTATCGGAGGGGTGACAGATCGGTTAGTAACGTTTTAGACATTCGTGCTAATTTAGGAGGTGGTTTCGGTTGGGGGCGAAGAGAGTCTTTAGATGATTTAAAAAATCGGAATGGGGACAGGGGGCTTCCAATCATTTCAGCCTTGCTTATAGATTGGAGAGGTTGGTATTTAAAATGGAGTTTACCAATATTTCAACCCTTTCCCACTGCCATCACAAATAATAAACTGTCTCTTTAAAAAATCTCTTTACGGTAGGATTTTTGTCTTATAYATAACCAAATAACATGAGGKAGTAATAACACTAGTGGACTGWGCTGGTRTAACGATAAYAAACGAAAATAAATCAGTGCTAAACTGTACTAAAGGACAAAGATAGTATGGAGTAAGAGAGCCTATTTGTATCATAATCYCACCTGAGCAGARTTGGAATCGTTACTAAATCTGTATGTGACAACTTGATTAGAACCTAGATCGCTGTCTGTCGCTTGGATGGTCAGAAGTTCCGTACCAACAGTTGTATTCTAAAAGATATAAAGTATTTCTCAACCACGAAACAAGACTAGGGTGAAAAGATAACAAATCAACGTCACGTTACCTCAAGTATTGRTTTCCAATATGGCTGTGTAACGAAGATTGGTTTGTTGTCGTTCACGTCCTCAACGTTAAGAATGAACAACTTTGATACCTGATAATAAAATAAAGCAAGTAAGTCTGGCAAATGATCAAGTGTGAGTCGGTCCATAGAGTTTGAAATATCGTCCAATAGCGACATATTATTCTGTTTACTGCAATATAGTAGRTCACAAAAATAAAAACTTCCAAACTCTTAAGTTCTAGGGAAGGCCACATAAAGAGAATTGCTAAGTGTTTCTCTCGTCAAAATAGTGCAAAAATGGTTCTACTGCGCAGTTGTTGTGTTGTTGTTGTTCATTTGTTGTTGTTGTTGCTGYCATTGTTGTTTTTGTAAGAAAAATTGTTGTGAAGGCCGGTCCAGACAGAAGCCGGATTCGGGCCGTTCAAGCGGGGGAGCCAATAAAAAAAAAAAGAACAAACCATTAGAGGCAGCCTGCAAACCATTTGGTATGAGTATATATAGACAGTCCTGATGTAAGACAAGGTTATCGTCGTACAATGGCCCCCCTATACCGCACGTCATCACGAATTTGCTACATACCTTTCTATCATCTCCGTCATCCGTCACTGTCACGTGGAAATCGTAAGTGCTAACCGACTAAGAGCAATAGCAAACAACAACAATTATCAAGTAGAATATATGCTTATGTTAACGGAATTAATAGTATTAAGGTGGAGGTTGAGGAAAAGTGAATCGAGTTGGCATTGGAGTGCTTTGGGGACAATATCAGTCCCACATGTCAACTCGACCCAGTGTTTTTCCTCAACCCCGGAATGTACCTTACACATGCGGAAAAATACATGTCAGAACACATTTATAGAAATAGATCAGCAGTGAGAAAAATCGAAAATGCCGATACTTACTTCTCTATTAAGCGATACTTTCAAGATCAGTTCACCTACACTTTTATTAAAATTGC